TGCTCCGACCCATCCCAGCAAACAGGTTTATGTGCTGCTCTGCTCCATGAAAGAAGCCCTTGAGCAAAACTACTCACTGTGCACATGCTCCCCTTTTATTTTTCTATTCTCCTCCTTTTCCTACTGCCATGTTTCTGTGTTGTCTGATAAATGCTTTGAAGGATTTATGGGGACACTAAGCTGGTGGTGACAGGGACATGGCCATGCAACATGAATTGTGCTTTACAGAGTGTAGAAGAGGCACTGGAGAATATTCCAGCCCACCAACATACAGACCGGAGAGTTGAGTGGAGAGGAACCTGTTGAGTTTTAGCCAGAGCAAGCATAGAGTCTTGTACCTGGGGAGGAATAACTGCATACATCAGTACAGTTTAGGGACTAACCTGGAGAGAGGAGCTCTGGGGTTCCTGGTGGAGGAAAGGTTGGCCATGAGCTATCAGTGTGCCCTGGTGGCCAAGAGGCCAATGGGATCCTGGGTTACATTCAAAAGAGTGTGGCCAGGAGATCGAGAGAGGTAATCCTCCTCCTCTGCTCTGCCCTGGTGAGCCCACATTGAGTGTCCCGTGTCCAGTTTGGAGCTCCCCACTTCCAAAAAGACAGGGATCTCCTAGAAGGAGTCCAGCGAAGGGCCACAAAGATGGAAAAGGGCCTGGAGCATCATCTGTATGAGGAAAGACTGAGTGACCTAGGTCTGGTCAGCCTGGGAAAAGACAACTGAGAGGATAGGTTTATAAATGTCTGAAGGGAGGTGGAGGCAAATGGATGAGCCCAGGCTCTTTTTGGTGGTGTGTAGAGACAGCACAAGGAGTGCTGTCCTCAAACTTGTGCATAGGAAGTTCTGTGCTAACATGCAGAAGAACTTCTTAATGGTAAGGGTGATGGAACACTGGAACAGGCTGCCCAGAGAGGTGGTGGAATCCCCTTCTATGGAGATAGTCAAGACCCCTCTGGATGCCAACCTGTGTGACCTATTATAAGGATCCTGCTTTAGCAGGGAGGATGGACTCAATGATCTCTTGAGATCCCTTCCAACCCCTTTGATACTTCAGTAGCAACACTGCATCCATTCTACAGATGGGAAAACTGAGGCAAAGAATGAGGAGCATCCGAGGGGAAACCAAACCTCCTAGCTCTGTGCTGTATCCAATCTAAACCTCCAGGTCAACTAATACAGACGTGGTTGAGAAACCCTGGACCAGGCTGAGCCGGGTGGGATCTGCTTTGTTTTTCTCCAGGCAGAGGGCACTTCCAAAGCTGTGCACCCTGCAGCATGCGCTGCTGTGCAGCCAGCCTGAAGCACGTGCTGAATTGATCCCCACTTTAATTAATGCTACTGCAATCCTTCAGCAAAAAGAGCAGCTCAGGATTTGTTTGGAAACACTGCCCTATGTACAGTAATATGTATTTATGTATTTATAAAGGCAGTCATTAAGGGGATTTTCTCTATTCCCCATATGGGCTGCATGAAGAAATAAATGCATATGTGCTGCTCACTCAAAAAAGAAAGGATTAGAGATGGGATGAAGGTCTCTGCTCGGGCTTCCCAAAATCACAAAATTGGTCTAAAAATGATACAGTGCAAACCAAACCTCAATTCCCTTGAGTTTGTCTTTACAATCTCTCTGGCTCCTGAGCCAGCCAAAGGTTTTCAGTAGTTTCATCTCACCTGTGTTTCCTGCAGAAGGAGCAATGAAGGGACGTGGATTGGTGGGGAAATATCGATGACAGGTGGACGGTTGGGTTGGGTGATCTTGGAGGCCTTTTCCAACCTTGGTGATGCTATGATTTTATGATTCTGTGAATGCTCTCGTGCTTCTGGCAGCCTTTCTGAACAGCGCTGTTTATTTTGCTCTTCTTGTTTTTATCAGCGACGAAAATTAATAACTGTTTGTTTTAAAACCAGACTTTGTTCTACAACGTAGTAAATCCATTCCCTTCCCCGTGCGTGATTACAAATGGTTTCCAGCCAGGATTTTCTATGTTAAATTGCAAAGCCTGTCACATTTAAGTCTTTTGCAGATACTTGCAGGCCATGTCTTGTTTGCTTGCTCATGTTCTGGATGCACAGTGGTTTATCCACGGAGAGCAGTGCAGAACACTTGGGGAAATGCCTGGAATTAAGTCAGAGCTGACCCGGGGAAATGTGAGGCAGATGCAGAAATGGGCAGAATAATTTCGGACCGAAAGTGTTTCGACAAAACAGCTCCCGTTGCCCAACAAGTGCAGCTAAATACAAGCTTTCTCCTCCAACTTGTCAGGTAATTAGTGAAGGAAGCATATGGCATCGCCTGGAAGTGTTGGAAGGGGATCAACACCAGACAAAGCTGGGGAGGGTTGGGTGAGTGGGCGTCACGTGGAAATAATGGGATCGGGAGGAGCGGGAGGCGGCGATGGGAAGGGGTGGAAGCCCGTGGTTCTGGCAGATGGCTGCCTTGGCACTGATGGGGTGGATGAGGATGCTGGGTGTTCCCAAAGGCTCGGTGGGAATGCTCCTTTCCTCTCACTGTTTTGGGGAGCTGCTGCTGAGGAGGTGGTGGTGGAGAGGGGATCTTCAGTGAGGATTGTGTGTGTGGGCAAGTGTAGGACGTGAGCAGCCAGACAGGGAGCCTGGGTATGCCAACATCCACCCAGTGTCCCTTGGAGGGAGATTAGCCAAATCGTGGGAGAACAAGGCAAAGGCAAATACACCAGGTTTTTATTGTAGTTGTTGGTAATAGGATTCATAGAACCACAGCATGGTTGGGTTGGAAGGGACCTCAAAGCCCCCACAGCTCCACCCCTGATGTGGACTGGCTGCCCCCCAGCAGCTCAGGCTGCCCAGAGTCCCACCCATGGCCAGGGTTTGGGCACACACAGCTCTGGGAGGCAGTGCCAGGGCATCAGCACCCTCTGAATATAGAATTTCCTCCTAACTCTCTCACTTTTTAGTCTAAAACCATTCTTCCATATCCTCCCTTATCCCATCCTTACCTTGTCTCGGTAATAGGGCTGTGTTGTTTGCAACAACTGCCATCACGAGAGGTTGGCAGGGATAATTCAGATCATGGTCACTGTGTCTTGGGCAAAAGTGGAGGCAATTGTGGTTACATCCCATCTTGCTCCATGAGACTTCAGTTCAGCAGTATCCAAAACAAACTCATCCTTTCTGTGCCGTTATTGCTCTGATGTGGCATTTTACATGGGAAACACCTGCAGCTTGCTCATCCACCCCAGCGTGCAGCAGTGATGCTGCCATGCCCCCATCACAACACTGTTTAGTACTAAAAGCAATTTTGTCACACATGGAAGTAAAAATATACAATTACCTTGCAGAGGAGTACTGCAAAGCCAATGCCAGGATTAGCACAAGTGCTGGAGGTGTCGATCAATGGGAACGTGTGGTTAGGAGTGAGTGGTGATGCAGATAATACACCTCCAGCTGGTTCAGAGTCCAACTCCAAGTGGTTGGAGCCAGGCACACGGGCAGCTTGCTGACCACCTGGGTTTAGCAAGAGTATGCGAGACCTGGGGAGGAAACTGATTTAATAAATCCTATTTATCTGCAAATTGTTTTGGAGGTAGGAAAGCTGAGCTTTAAAAAGGTTAAATGCTAATAAATACTAATAGCCTGCTCCAGCTGCTCGGTTGGTAAAGGATGCTGAGATAAAATGCCAGAGAGCAGCGCTGGATGCTGTGGGCAAGGAGTGTTAAGATTCAAGTGGCCAATGAGTAAAGCAACCTCACAGTCACAGTAGGGCTTTTTGATGCTGATTGTTCCCAAAAGGTGAATGGAGTTGTTTGTGTTTGCATTGGGGATCATTGGATCAGTGGCACAGGAGGGGCTTCCTGGATCAGCTTGGCCATGGCTTTGTGTAGCTGAGTGCTGAAACCTTGAGGGATGGGCAGCTATCAAAGAGGTCTGGGGCTGACATTCCTTCCTTCTGGTTTTCTGGCAGTGTTTTGGATCAAACACACTGCTGGTAAAAAGTTGAAAAGCATAATAAAATAGTAGAAAAATACCAAGAAATAGTAAGCAAAGAAAATAAAGAGTGACTCATCACCAAACAGAAGTTCTTCAGATGCTTAGGCGGCATTTGTTGGCCCTAGGCATGGATTCCTATCAGTGGGTTGCTGTGTGTTTAGACCATACTATGCATAGCTAATGAGTTCCTTTGCCAGTGAGCCCCCACCTCTTAAACCCACATGCTCCCTGTAGTTGGTTTGGATGTGAGGCTGTAGCAGCAAAGCCAAAGAGAGTTCTGTGCCCCAGTGGGGGAAGATGCCTGTATGATAGAGGAGCCCAAAGTGCTGGATCAGCACAGTCAGGTCTGACTTGCATCCTTTAACTCAGCTTCAGAAAGCCTGTTATCAGTTGGCTTAGTGGAAGAGGAGCTCAAGATGTGAGGATGTCACATAAGCCAAAGTGAGGAAACCCATAACAGCGCCATGAGCTTGAGCCCGTGAGCTGCAAAGGGCCTTTGTGCTTGGAGCAACTGAAGCTTGGGATTTTACACTTGTTTCATTGTCCATGTTATGTTCCAATAGGCTTCAGGTGTGTCAGTGCCAGAGATGAGGCTGCGGGGCAGCAGAGGTGGGTGCACCCATGCTTTTGGTATCAGAGACCATACAGATACTAGAACTGACTTTTTGGGAAGGAAAAGTGTATTTGTTTTAGTCATATGGGAGTGCATTTAAAATTCTGCGAACAAGCAGCCAGAAAATGGGTGTCACCTCCTGTTTTTTGTCTTGAAAGTATGGAGAAATCACAGCTCTCTGACATAGGCTGGCATCAAGCCCTTGGGATAGAAAGCAGTGAAGGACCAGGAGCCAGCAGACAATTGTGATCCCAACAGGGGGAAGCATCCCTTAGTGCTTCCCTCCATCATGCCCAGCCCCTCATCAGCCAGGCAATGCTCTCCTGCCTGTGTATCTCCTTTTGAGCAGCACGTATTGACCAGACAAAAGTCCCCAATGGCACCATCCCACCAATCCCAGCTTAATCCCCTGCCTTCTTCTTCCAGAAGAGACGACATTCGAGGCTGGAGTCAAAGTTCAGATCCACAGCCAGTCGGAGCCGCCGTTCGTCCAGGAGCTCGGCTTCGGGGTGGCTCCTGGATTCCAGACCTTTGTGGCCACCCAAGAGCAAAGGGTAAGTCCCAAATTTCATTTGCACACCGAGGTGCCTCCAGTGGGTCTCATCTATGTACTGATGCTCCTTGAGAGGTGACATGTTGGTTTTTTTTTCACTCCTTGCTCCAGACTGGGAAGAGCACAGCTCTTCTTGTTTCCAATACATTACCCACAACCCTCACAGTTTGAGTCACAGAAGGGAGTAGTATCCCTGATTGGCTTTTTGGTGTTTGTGGTTCACCTGTGGCAGTCTCTAAATGTGCTGAGTACCATCCAGCCCACTGAGACAGGTTGCTGTCTTCTAAAAATCTCTCATGCTCCAAGGAGATTAAATGAGACCAGAGGAGTGTGTTTCATTAAGCAGAGCAGCATGAATCCTTTCAGGTTGGCACCAAAACAATCACATTACTTATGCTGGCCAGTGGTGGGAAGCTCGTGGCCCAGGGTGCATCACCATCCCTGCATCCCAGCAGTGGCACATCACAGCACAGATGGATGAGATGTGATACGGCATCATTAGACCAAAATCCTGGGTAGGCATTTGGAAAGCTGGGGAGCAAAATAATGTTCTCCCCACTATTTTTGGCCATAGTGCCTTTGCTCCTGACCTTCCTGCTTCATTGCATCTCTTTTTCCTCCCTGTTCTCATGCCTCCTCTCAGTGCAGCACAGTGGGTCGATGTCTGGAGTAGATGATCTCAGTGCTCTTGTCCAACATTCTTTATCCTATGAATCAAACTGAGAAAAGCAAGCAGACTCTCATGGAGGGTTTGCTGTGATCAAACCTCCGCAGAGATCAGGGCTGCAGAATTTCAGCTCTAAGCATCTCAGCAAAGTCACCACCAACTATACCTTTAAGCCAAGGCATCTCTCCTTGGCCTTGGGTACCAAAATACACCTGGAGGCTGCAGGATTTCAGCAAGGCTCATTCATTACGACGTGCTTGTGTGTGCTCATCCCAGAGATAACGAAGGGTGTGGGCTCCTGGTGGGCGGGCGCCAGGTGGAGTCTTCTCAATTAAAGCAGAGCAGTGTTTTGCTGTGTCTTGTGAGAAGTCTGGTGGGCTGGAGAAAATGAGCAGCTCCCATTAGCACTCGCTTGGAGTGTAACACCTTGGTGACAGTGAAGGCAAAGGGATCTTCAGGGGCACAGTGAGCACCTGCTGAAGTCCAGAACAGCTCCTGCCCCATCTGTGTCCCAGCCATACGCAAGCCAAGCCCTGTCCTCGTGCTGCTCAACCTCCCCAGACTCATTCTTGAGATGCTGTGTGGCCTGGGCAAACCTTGCTGGTGGGTTTGGATGCATCAGCTATTGGAGGAAATGGCCTTGGAGACCCATGGGAGGCATTCTTCACTCCATACCCTTCCATAAATCCATTGGCAGTCACTTTGTGCTGCCCCAGAGGACCTGCTGGGTTACAGCCAGCAGCCAGTCGGTTGGGTGAGCCCACTCACAGCCTGCAGCGAGGACCTCGAGGACTTTATTTTAGGTAGGAATAAGCATAAATGCTGAGACCTGCTCTAAATCTTCCCTAATGCTACCCTTCCTACTGCCAACCTTAATTATTTTTCATTCTTCCTATTAGAAAAAGCGATTGCAAGGGACTGTGTTAGGAAGACAGCTAACTGAGAGAAAAGAAACGAAATAAAAACCCTCCCTCCTCACATCCCTCCTTCAGGAAGGAAGATGGCAGTGAAGCAGAATTTGGGAGGCTCTTTGCCAAAGCGTGTCTCTCCTTCTGTGGGCTTTGCCCCAGGTTCAGCGCTGGCAGGGGGCAGGGCGCATTGCTGCTCAGTGCCAGCCATCCTGGAACAGGTTTAAGATTGTACCACAAAGCCTTAGCTCATGAGACACAATAAGGTCACTTTATAGCCTAATTGCAACCACTAATTACCAACACTGCAGCACAAGCATGCTACTGCCTTGTCTAATTAGCCCCCAGTTACCCCTCTCTTATTACCCTGCCTTGTCTAATTACACCTACCACCCCAAATGAGCATCTCTGATTCAGGGCCCAGATTGAGTCTTAATACCTCACCTCCACGCCTGGGGTGGGCATGTGCTATTCCTTCCATAAGTCAGAGCAAAAGGAGGAAAACCCCATGAACATCACCCAGAAGACTGAGTCCAGCTCATTATTGCAGTCCTAAACTGCATGTTTTATATCACCATGGTCAAAAGCAAACCATGATGGTGTGATCTCCTTAAATGTTGCTTGAAAACCAGCTGTCAGTCGAAAGAAGCAACAAAAAAAATCAGTTTTTCTCCTCCTTCTGCAGCAGCTGAGCCATCCAGCAGAGTGACTTTTAAGAAACATTTGCCAGGTTGGTGGTGTTAATGCAGTAGTAGTGTCAGAAGCATCCAGGGAGCACTGCAGATGGGGACACTGCAAGCAAGCTGTGCCTGCTGAGTCAGCAAAAGCAAAGGCAGTGCAAGCAGGGGGTTCTCCATAAAAGCTGTTTGTGCTGTGTTTTTCTGCTGTGGACACGTCAGACTGAAGCCATTTCCTCTAATTACTTGGAATTTAGGAGCTAGGATAGAGCTCCCCAATGCTCAGGCGCTGCTGGAGGCAGTGCGGTGGCAATTAAAATGGGAGTGGTTTGATGGAGGACGTCAAAAATCCTCTCTGAGTGATTTCGGAAGGGAGCTGGGGCAGTTCACACAGAGACGTGAGACTGGCTGCTGTTTTCTGGGGGTCTTACACTGTGTTACATGAGGAGGGGAGCTGGAAGAGCTGGGGCAGAGCAGAGATGCTCCGGCCACGCAGGAGAGCCGTTTCTATGGCAATCCGTGAGCCTAATGAGTAAGGTTTGTTTTCTCATGAATGAGCCAAATGTGGAGCAGCAGCACAGGAGCTGGCTGCAGGCACAGGCAGGCTGGTACCAAGCAGGGCAGGAGCACCGTGCACAGGGCTGTGCCCTCCAGGCCCCTGCTGCTGGTTTTGTGAGGGTGCATCCCCAAATTTCCCTTTTCCCAACACTTTTGGGTGAGCCTGCAAAAAAAACCACCTTGCGTTGTGTGTACCATAGGATCAAGGAGTCATTAAGGTTGGAAAAGACTTCTAATGTCATGTGGCCATAATTGCATTGGAAAGAATCATAGAATCATAGAATGGTTTGGGTTGGAAGAGACCTTGAAGATCATCTAGTTCCAACCCCCCTACTATAGGCATGGACACCTCCCTCTAGACCAGGTCGCTCAAAGTCCCATCCAGCCAGGAATTGAATGCTTACAGCGATGGGGCATCCACAACCTCACTGGGCAACCTGTTTCAGCGTCTCACCACCCTCACAGTAAAGAATTTCTCCCTAATATCCAGTCTAAATATACCCTCTTCCAGCTTAAAAGCATTTTTCCTTGTCCTGTTGCTATATGCCTTTATAAAAAGTCCCTCCCAAACTTTCCTGGCCCCCTTGAGCCTCCTCTTTTCTAGGCTTAAGAGCCTCAACTCTCTCAGCCTCTCAGGTTGCAATGCACACTGGCATTCATATTTTGGAAGGCTGATTCATTAAAAAAAAAAAAAAAAAAACAGATTCCTCCTGGCTTTGCCATCTTTTCATCCCATTTTCCCAGCTGTGCTTTATGGCATCATTGCTGCATCACCCATGGTGGATGGGATGGGTAACTGCTGCTCCCTGCCACGCCACCGGCGCCGTGCGTTAGGGAAGATGAAAAGCACACTAAAATGGCAATTTCTGCCAACTTGGCAATAGAAATTTAAGAGGCTTCAATTAAGCAACAGGTTCAAAGACGGAGCAATATTGTTTTATAGGGCTCTAGTGCGCCTTGGAGACTCATCCCCCTGTAATGTTTGCACGGGACAGAGAGCATCAGCTACCAACAACTGCAGGATCACAAAGTGTAATTACAGAGCCAGGGAAACGGGGCTCAGGGTCCAGCAGTGCTGACTCCTATTTTCAAACAGGGCGTAGGCTGTTGCGTTTGAAAATTGGGAGCAATTAAGTGACATTTCCCCGGTTTGCCAACGCTCACTCAGAGCATCTTCTACCTACAGTCTTACACCTCCTCCTGGAAATGTTAGCTCTCAGTTTCCCTCAATCCCACGCGCTCTCCCTGTTGATTTCCTCCGGTCTGTCATTGGGCTCTAATGAATTAAACAGCAAGAAGCCAGCCAGCAGCCAGCGGTGGCAAAAACATCAAAGGGGATGAATGGAAGCCAATGCAAGGATGTTTTTGTAGGGCAACTGTGTGGTTTTGCTTGGAAAATGGCGTTTGGCCTAAAAAGATACAAGGGGAAATGGGCTTGGAGCAAGCAGTGGAAATGAGTCTGACTGAAGAGTGATGAAGATGGAGAGAAATTTAAAGGGCTCCTTTGGGAAGGAGGTTGGTAAGAGAAACTCTTTGAGCACGTCATGAGTGTGTATGGGATGGTGGTCAGCAGTTTCTGTTCACCATTTGCTTTGTGACAGGGATAGTAGATAGATTTCCTTTTAAAAGATGGAAAACCACTTTCTGAGCATAGCAGAGCTCCAGAAAATCCAATGCACCTCCAGCCTGGGCACCTGTGTGAGGTTGGCCAGCGTGGTCCAACAAGTAGAGCCCACATTGACCAGTGGAATGTGAAGCAATACTTCTGCTGGTGGAGGAGGTAGCCAAGGAGGAAAAGGCAGAGCTAATTGCCATTTGATTGCAGAGTTAATTGCCATTTCATCCTTGGAGGGTTTCAAGGCTGGATGGGATTCTGGGCAGCTTGATCTGGTGGGGGGCAACCAGCCTACAGTATGGGGTTGGAGCTTGAGGTCTTTCAGGTTGCTTCCAACTAAACCATTCTATGGTTCTGTGATTTAAAATATAAGCAGAAGGCAAAGCTCATTGAGCACGGGAGAAAAACACGTGGAGCAGCCACCCAATGACTTTTGCTTTGCAAAATCATTCCCAGGGAAAAGGGAACCTGGAGGGGCTCACAAATCACAGCGTGCCCAAATGAATGTTTTCTCCCGGTGATCATTCAAATCCAGGGCTGTGTACCCTTGCCAAGCACCGCAGGCTGCTGGAAGGG